TGAAAGGGGTTTGTGGGCACCCCTCTGAGGTGGCTGTGGCTGTGTGGGGGTGGGAGGATCCCTGGGGACACCTGGTCTGAGCAGCTGTAGGCTGGGGGTGGGGGTGGTGGCAGGAGGGGCTTGGTTCCCACCTGCTGCCCGGTTAGAGGGGACACCCCCACGGGGGTGTTGGGGACGGCAGATATGCGGCCTGGCGTTCCAGAGCGAGTCCCCGGGAGCCCAAGTGGGACAGTGCTCACAGTATCCCATCTGGTGACAGAAGCCGACTTCAGTGTCCAGCGAGCCCTTTCTTTTTTCCTTCATTATCCTTCTCTGTGTATTCCAAACATTCTCCACGGGCACGCTTTCAGATTCAGGACTCTGGGCGGGTACAAGCAAGGAGTGGGATCCCGGCCACTCCAGTGTTCTCCCCATTTCCTCCCACGCTCCTGCTCAGCCAGCTCGCAGGCCCCTTCCTCATCCCCAGCGTGTGCCCCACGCTGCACCCCCTCCACACACACACGCACACACGCACTCCTCGACAACCAAAACGTGTGCGCTGGGATTCCTCAATCAGAACAGAGCATGCCTGGCAGCCACGTCTCCTGAGTGGTGGTGGAAAGGGCCACAGGTGTTTTCTGTGCAGTAGGGAAGGGGAGGTGGATGGCAGATGGGGGCCATTGTCCTGCGGAGGACGGAGGGCATTTCCCACACCCCTGTGTTATCCTCCATCCTGGGTCCTGGAGAGATCCGCAGGGACTGACAGGTAGAAGTTGCAGAAAAGTAGGGGATGGCCCAGCCAACATGTCTCTGAGAGTTCTTCGCGACCCGCAGAGGAATAAGGTGGTGAGTCCCGGTCTTGGGGGAGTTACACGGAAATTTGTGACCCTTTACCTGGGAGACGGCGGAAAAGGTAGAAAGGTTGGGCACCATGCCCTTGAGATTTTGTGGTTCCTCAGAAGAGCCGCTGTCTATTTAGAAAGTAATTTTCATTTTTTTAAAGATTTTATTTATTTATGAGAGAGAGAGAGCACAAGCTGGAGAGAGGGAGAAACAGGCTTCCCGCAGAGCAGGGAGCCCGATGTGGGGCTCGATCCCAGGACCCTGGGATCATGACCTGAGCTGAAGGCAGATACTTAACCAACTGAGCCCCCCAGGTGCCCCTAGAAAGTAATTTTCAGTCAACAAGTATGCTTTTATTTCAACTACTTTTTTCTATCTTCCAAAATGTTTTAATGAATATAGATGGCTACTGTGCTGAAAAGATACATTTACTAATGTAGTCAAGTTCACTGCATCGAAGTCTGCAAAACCAGGCGGGCTGCCTGGGTCTTGAGGAGGATAGAGAGGCCGCATAATTGGCAGGAAGTGAATCTGGAAGCAATCTGGGGCGGCGAGTCTTGAGCTGGAGGGTGTCCCCTTCTCCACCAGTGTCAAACCAGACTCCTGTCGGCTGGAGAGAGACTCTGAGATGGACTCTAAGATGGCCTCCGAGATGGACTCCGACTCCACGCTCAGGGCAGGCCCCCTCCACGGTGCAGGCCACCCCAATTTCCACGGCTCCAGGCCCTGGGAAGCCTTTGCAGCCTGGTGACCCAGAGGCCACGGCAACAGTGAAGCCTGGCACACCGCGCTCTCCATCTCTGCAAGGTGTAGCTCAGGTACGGCTGCCAACCTTGCCCCCAAACGACCTGAAGCCCCGTGGGGCCACATTGAACAATGCCCCTTGGGTCTCACAAGGAAGCCAGGGCAGAGCTGGTACGTGAAATGCTTTCACTGAAATTTCAAGACACTTTGGAAACCCTGTCAAGCCTCCAATATTCCATCAGCCCTTCCTGAGGCTTGGCTGTTCATCTTCCAAGTGTTTGCTCTCTTTCTGTCTGGCTGGCTTCTCCGAGAGCTAAAATTCTTTGAGCCCATAGGCCTGTTGGCTCCTGCTTATTTGCATGGCTAAGTAACCAACACTTCAGACGGGCAGGAAGCCAATGGAAACAAATCCTGTTTCTACAGTAGGTACAGAGAGGATTCTCTGCAGAAAAGAGTTTCCATTTTCGGTAGAAGGGGGCAAGTGTGTTCATCAGCAATTGACCACTCCTAACTCCATCTTCCCTGTGTAATGAAGTGATCCTGGAGCGGGGCCAGGTGGAACGACGGAAATAAAACTATTCTAGGACCTGGCACCATCTGGGGGAGCGTTTTGTGGCTGACAACCCTGGTTCCCTCTGTGAAGAGACTTGGGCCATCGTCCTTGCTTGGTGGGTAACCCAGCAGGGCTGGGCGGCAGGACACCCCCGAGGGTCCAGGATGGTGGAAAATCCCCAAGGACTTTTCGATGCCAACCTCAGGGTTCGGTTTCTGCAGGGGCTCAAAGAGGAGATGCTTGGTCTCAGTTCTGGGACTTCCACCTCCAGTTTCTCATGTTCTAACCAGGTAACGACTCCCAGCATGCTCAAGGTGTCCTGGCTGGCCCCGCACCTGCCTGGGGCATCCACACTTGCCGTCGGGTTGATGGGAAAAGAAAGGATTTATACATGTATGTTAACCTTCTCGGGACCTTTTTAAATGGAAAAAAAAAGTTTTAATTGGCATCGTTGTGCATGCATGTAATTTTTCTTTATTTTTTTATTAAAGTTTTGTTTATTTTTAAGGCATCTCTACGCCCAACGTGGGGCTCGAACTCATGACCCCAAGACCAAGAGCCGCACCCTCCACTGACTGAGCCAGCCGGGCCCCCCTAAAATTTTTTCTTTAAATACTGTGCCCCATTACAGGAGGGGACAGGTGAAGCGGGAAGGTGGGAGGCTGGGCTGGGGATGAAAACTTACAATGTCTAAGTGCCAAATCCATCGCTGGTCACCTGTGGAGAGCACATGCGCGTGTGCCCAGGCCTGGTGCACGCCAGTGTGGGTGTGTTTGTCCTGTGCAAAGACCGAGTCCATGTCAGTAAAGACAGAGACTCCGAGGACACTCCCTGGAGCAAATATCACTTTAGGGCTTTTTGTGATTAGCGAGAGAAGGTCACTTTGAACCAGTTTGCGGACCGCTCCTGGTAGTAGAGGCAAGGCTAGGACTGGCCTCGGGGAGGCAGGACGAGACCTTCTCTTCTGCCACTGTGTCTTGTCTGGCCTCCTGTATCCACGAGGCAGGAACCTGAGGCTTATAAACTACAGCCTCAGGAGCGAAGAGGAGAGATCCCAAAGACCTCAGGAAAGACCTTGATTTTTGCAGGCTAGTTCAGTGAGAGGGACAAGCTATTGGCCGGGCTGGGATGGGATAAGTCCAGGGACGGGCAGCCTCCCCCCAACACAGCATGGGTTATATGAGAGGCACAACTGGCCCCTAGAACAGAGGAGTGGAGGGCAGAGCAAGCAAGATCAGTCTGTCTCACCCTGGGGGATGCCGTTCCTGAGCTAGGCCTGGGGAACCAGGGAGGATTTGAATGGGGGGAGTGAGAGCAGGTGCAGACTCTGGGGACCCCTGATGCTCAAAGCAGCAACACTGGTTTCTTGGTGATAAAATCCATTCATCTCCACCTCAGCTTCTTCAAAAGATCCTGGACGTGTTTCGAGCTTCCCCAGAAGCCAACGGCGAGGGCGAGTCCTGACTTTTGGGCTCCCCTCCTGGCCCCAGAACCTCAGGAGATGTGGACAGCTTCTAAGTGTTCTGGAAGTGCTTATTTCCTCCACCAATGACATTCCCAGTTTTAAAAGTTTCTTTGCTTTCTAGAGTTTTTGTTTTGTTTTTTTAAACATAGCTATTTTGGGTGGACATGAAAATACCCACGGCTCTGACTGGAAAGACAGCTGCAGGCTCCTGCTAAGAGCATGGGACCCTCCTCGTCCCATAACTCCCCACAGAGCCAGAGCCCTTCTGGGGGGCCTGAACCCAGTGGGTGGGAGGAGGAGGCCCTCCCCCAGGGGCCATTCAGGCCTGCAGGCCCATCACAGGCCCTGTCTCGAGTTCCCCTGGGCTCGGGATACCCTGCTGCCCCTGAGCCGCGAACGCGGACCCCATTCACACCAGCAACGCTTGCACTGTCTCCTCTTTCTGTGGGGCCCCCTCTTCTCCTCGGTAATTCCTGGCTTATGTCACCGCGGGTGAAGTCCCTCAGCGACCTGGCTGGAGAGTCACCTCTGAAGACCATGGCCAGTCTGGGGTCTGGGGGTGTGGGGGAATCCTAGGGAGCCCGACTTCCTCATGCAGCCCGACTTCCTCCCCTACCCCCAGAAGGGGGCCCCTCTGAGGCCGCACAGCCTGCGGAAAGCTTTCTCTGGCAGAGAGCATGATCTGAGCACAATAAGTCTTTGGATCAAGAAAGGTCCCAGGGTGTGCCTTGGGTCATCGAGCGCTGACTGCCGCTCTGCAGATAGAGCCTTCTAGAACGCGGCCTGGAGCCCCTGACTTGCGGGCGTGAGGGAGAGCGTGGGGCGCTAACGGCCCAGGGCAGCTGTCTCCTCGAGCTGTTAGCTTCAGCTCACAGATTTCATCTGGTTGCATTACCTCTGCCTGTCAGGAGCTCTCTGAACTTCCACGTGTCCATCTGGTCTATCTACTGTCTTTGGCCACGGATTCCACAAGCTCTTTGGGTCCTCACCCCGTTAGCAAATTCCAGCTGGGCCCGCAGAGCTTGTGGACCGAGCCCTGCACTTCCTCCCAGCTCCCGTCAGCTCAACCAGCGCCTCGTTACAAGTCCTCCTAACCACGTCCTAACACTTCCACACGTTCCCCTCATCAGCCGGTCCACGGGCGAGCAGATGAGTCTCACCTGCCCCGCGTTCCTGCTAAACCTGGTGGGGGCCCAATGCCCGACTTGGTGGGCAGATTCCCACTTGCAGAGGGATCCGATCGCCGAACACGGGGGTCCCCAGGACAAGGGGGGCGGGAGGTGAGGGTCTGAAGGAGGGCCGGGCCTGCCCTGGGGAAGGATAGCCTTCGTGCTAAGACCACCGCATGAGCAGAGGTCACGGAAAGAGGGCGCGAGTCGGGATCCGGCCAGTTGGAAAAACGAGAGCACACAGGGGTTTGAGAAGCCACCAGAAAGGTCACATGAGTGACCTTTATTTTTATTACATAGAAATATGTTTATTACATAGAAAAGAGGGAAAGGAAGAAAAAGTTTCTAAAGCCGTATTTTCAGGATTTAAAAAAACACAAACTTGGAATGCCAAAGAGATGCCATGCTTTGCATATTTATAATCGGAATATATAAATATGTACATGGAGATATGTACACAGGATTTGACAGTCATGCGCACTGCTTCCCATTACACGGACAGCAACGGTGCTTGAGCTGGGACTTCCGAAGCTGGCGGGGCGCTGGGGAGGTTGGGACCCTGCCTCCAGGGGCCCTGGGGACCCGGGCAGCAGCGGGGGCGGGCGAGATTGCTGGGGGCTCGGTCCTGAAGGTGCGGGGAAGGCCAAGCCGCAGGCCGGCCTGGGCCCCAGGCGGCAAGTCTAGAAGCTTCCCTAGGTCCCCAGCTGGAGAATTTCTTCCTCTCGTGGAACCAAAGAAGGCTCCAGTCACTGGCTTGGGCTGGAGACCCCCTTGGCTGGCTAGGATCACAGGGGAAGTGGCTGGGGGTGGGGGGTGGCCCCCGAGGATCTGGGCAGAAGTAAATTGAGGAAGCCCTGAGAGGTCGGGGAGAGGGTCTCAGCAGAGAACAACAGAAACGGACAGCGATTCCTTTAAGGGGAGGAAGACAGACCCAAACAAAGTCGCTCACATATCAAAAACTACAAATCACAGCACAACACTCATCCAAATATAAATTCAGCTAATATGCACAGAACCAGTGTTGTTTTTATGTACGTTGTTTTCAAAGATTTGGCACCATTTACAATGGCATGTGTACTTTAGCCCGTGCAAAGGGCCCACCAAGTGTGTCCACGGGGTGCCCCAGCCACTTACGGCGACCACGCCACCTCCCTGGCTGGGACACCCGGCCAGGTGCTCACCCAGAAAGCAGGGTGGGCGTGACCTCTGCCCCCTTCTCTCCTCACTGCTTCTCATCCTGGGGCCGGGGGACGGGGGGGATGGTGGGGATGACTGTAGCCCCAGAAGAGCCCAGAAAGGGCTCACGGTCCCCTCCTCTCTGGGAGACCCATGTCATCCCTCCCACAGAAGGCCAGCCAGGTTTGGTGGCCGGGGGTGTGGAGCCATGGACCCCGGTAGGAAGTGCTCCTGGCCCAGGGGCCCTTCGGATCAAGGGAACTGTGTGTGTCTGGGCCCTGGGTGGGGTGACAAGGACAAGTGCCGCCTGCCAGGGCGCACGCTGGAGGGATGGCTCCCAGGCAGTGTGAGGGCCTCTCTGCAGATGTTAAGGTCTCAATCCTGAGACCTGCCCTCACCCAGCAGCTGGAGGGGCTGTGAGCATGTGGCGCGGGGGGGGGGGGGGGGCGTGTGTGCACATGCGTGTGTGAGAGAGTGTGCATGTGTCTGTGCTTCTGCCGGCCTAGGGTGCCGGTGACCTGGTCTGGGGATGGCTGGCATGTTGGCAAATCCAGGCAGGCAGGGAGAAGGACTGGGGACTAAACCTAAAGAGACAACTTGTACAGGAAACTCAGGACACCTACAAGGACAGCCCTGTCATCAGCCTCCCGTGTGACTGGATCAGGAGGGGAGAGAGCGCCCATGTCTGTCACTAGAAAGAGTCCCTGCGTGCCAAGTCCATGAGGCCCACACAGGAGCGCGGCTGCAGGGCCCTGGGCCTGTCCTCCAAGGCCTCTGCTCTGACAGAAATGGGACCGGCATCAGCTTCCCAGTCCCTCCTGCCCCGCCTACGGATGGTCCAACTGAAGCACGAGACGGGAGGAGAGACAAACAGCACTGAGGCTTGAACTCGCCCCAGTGTTTGCGGCACGGGTTTCCCCACGCATCAGCACAGGGATTAGGGCAGATTCGCGAGTCCGGCCCGGCTTGCATGCCTCCGTGATCCCACAGACATTCTGAAGCTCTCAGAGCCCAAAAGGTGAAAAACGCGGACCCCGACCAGCGCCCACCTGCTCGGGAGGCCCCCAGTCCCCCTTCCCACAGCCTGGCCTCATGGCTGCCTGGCCTCGTGGCCTCCTGGCCACACGCAGCGGCCTCCTCCGCGGGGAGAAGCGCCCCTCCTGCCTCCGCTCGCCTTGCTGTTCCACCTGTGCGGGCAGGAAGGGCAGGTGCTGTGCCGCGGCGGCCAGGGTGCTGCTCTCTGGGAGCCCCCCTCAGGTGCATCGGTGCCCGCTGAGTGCTTGCTGGATGCACAACTGTGGAACACGGAGCCCCGCTTGGGAAAACTGCCTAATGGCAGCACAGGGGGGCCACTGAGAAGGTGGCACCCTGGCTCCCTTCAGCCTCGAGCAGGTTCGTGAGGAGCAGCTCACACGGCTCCCCCACCCCCTGCGAGGTCACGGTCTCCAGGAAGGGTCAGTGCAGCTGGGGGTGCTCTAAGCCTCCAATCCCTCTGTTGAAAGCCCTCCAAACAAACCAGCAAGAGGGGTCAACAAGGGCCTGTGACCACAGACTGGGGACTAACATTTAGATTATACATCCCCAAGCCATTTCCACAATGCCGAAGTGGTCAGCATCACCAACCAGAGAAAAACATCCAGGGTCGTGAATGCCTCCGGGCCCCGGGAGCAGGATGGGGCCCCACGCTGGCTCAGGCCCTAGGCCCAGCGGCTGGGGCCAGGCCCACACCCAAGTGACCCTTGCAAACTCACCCCATCTGCGTGAGGATGGGGTTCACCCCCCAAAAAATTGTAGATCTTTTGGGGGGATTTTAAAGAGCTGGGCTGGCGCAGGAGGACCACCTCAGTGGACCCCTCGCGTCCTCCTCCAGAGTCAGGCCTTCGGAAGGCATTCTCTTGGGCCTGGGGGCTCAGTGTTTGGCTTTTCTTTCTTAGGTCTAGGTCTTTCCGGGGGAAATTCTGACCGTGTGGCTTCCTCGACCTTCTAGAGTTCATGTGCTCCTCACTGTGGCTTGGGCCTCGTGACGTCTGCATGAGGCCCAAGCCCCAGCCAAGCCTCTGGGAAGTGGGGGGTCGGGGGCCTGGAGCAGGTCCCCTGCCCACTCCGGGCTGCAGGTTGGAGGGCCGCCCAGGACAGCATGTGGTGGAGCCAGCCCCCCAAGACCCCTTCCCGTCACCTGCTACTTCTGCACAGGCAAGGAGGTCCAGAGAACCCTCCAACCCCCAAGACCCCTTCCCCTCGGCTGCAAGACTTCGCTGCAGGCCGTGTCAGCTACGCCACGGTGTTCGGGGCCTTGCTCTGCCGGCGCCTCAGTCCTGACACCTGGAAGGTCCGCAAACTCACGGCCCCCCTGCCAGGATTGTTGGTAAGGGTCACCGCGGGTCAGATGCACCACACCGAGCCTAGCAAGGACCCAACATCTGGAGGCTGTCCTTGTCGTCCACGTCATGTGGACGTGGGGTCGCGGAGGGAAGCCATCCTGCCCCAGGTCCCTTCCTCACCTCCTATCCCTCATCTAAGCCGGTGACGCTTGGGCCATAGTCTCATGGAGAAAGTCGCTGTCTCGAGCTGCTCCTCCGCACGGCCATCCTCACAGACTGGGGGTTCAGAGGACCGGGGTGCCCCCATTCCTCGCACACATCAGCTACGCGGGAAGGGCTTCCTCCAGAGGCTGACGTCCTCTCAAGTTTGGAAGCAGCTGGGGCCGAGGGGAGCCTCAGGGGCCGAGGTGGAACTGTCCTTCTGAGCCCACAAACCCCTGTATGAGCCATCCTGTGCCGGGGTTCACTCAAGAAACCCCCACCTGTGTCTGGATCACCACCAAACATGCTGCACAAATTGCTGTCTCTTCTCTCCCCCTCAGCAGCCACCCCAGCCCGAGCCAGGAAAGCAAGATCCTCGGCTCCCACTGATGGGGGCTGTGCCCGAGGCCGGGCATCCCTCTGGGCGTGTGGGGTGAAGGGCCCGGCCCAGCCCTCAGCCCGAGCTGCTCTGGCCTGGCTATAGGGGTGGCTCCCTTCTCTGATGCAGCCTCCCGGGGCGCAGCCAGGAGCCACCTGCTGCTGTCTTCTCGGCCCATAGGATGCCGTCTTCACACACCAAAAGCTTCTGGCTTTCTGGATAAAACCAAAGCTGGTCCCACACCTTAAAAACGCACAGGATTCCAAACACGAGAGAAGCAGCAGACACCAGGCTGGGATCAGGAGGGAAGGGGGGCAGGATCGGGGAGTGGGGCAGGGGATTGTTTCTCCATGGGTGCCGAGAGCTGCCCAATCCACAGGGAGCCCAAGGCCCACTTCCCTGGCAGGACAATAATCAGAAAGCCCAGCGGGTGAGGTGACTGGGCTCGGGGAGCAAGGGGGCCTGTCCAGCTGCAGGCTCCCCAAGCACACCCATCCAGCCATGGGGAAGAGGCCACATTCTGAGTCTCTGACAGACAGGAAGAGCTCCCTCGGGGAGCCCAGTGGGGTTGCAAACAGCTTTGGGCCAGTCCCACAGTTTAGCAATTCCCATGTTAGGAAGCAAATGAAAACAGACGGTAGATGTCCACCATGACTTTGGATCGCCTTTCTCTTCATTTCAGAGCAATCCCTGACCCACAGTGGCCCCAACACCTCCTGTGAGTTCCTCCCCCACCAGGATCCAACTCCCGAACAATCACGCACCGAGCAGGTGCCCTGAAGCGTCACCGGCTTAGATGAGGGATAGGAGGTGAGGAAGGGACCTGGGGCAGGATGGCTTCCCTCCGCGACCCCACGTCCACATGACGTGGACGACAAGGACAGCCTCCAGATGTTGGCAACGGGAGGAATCCCTGTGTAACAACAGCGGGATCCCCAGGGCCTCACTGGCAAGAGGGATTTTTCAGATAAAAGTCTGCCACCCCACACAATTTTTTTTCTTTTGCAATTCTCAATCCCCAAAAGCCCTTGAATGCTAAGTTTTCTTCCATAACTTATTTAGGCCAAGATCTGACCTGAACCAAGCAAGGTGAGGCTATTTATGGTTTTTATTGATCCCAATTAGTCTGACTTTTCACAGGATTCTCTGCAAAAACAGTCATGCACTCAATGGTTGGGAGGTGCTCCAGATTGCGGGCGTGTTAGGAAATGCACGGTACATGGGTCTTATTCTGTCTCAAATCCACGTTTTCCGAATTTGGAGACCCGTCCGGCCCCAAGGATTTTAGGAGGACTACTGACCAGGAGTGGCGTTCAGTATAATGTGAAAGGCTGCTGGCCTGTGCTCGCTCACACCTGCACTGAAGATTCTGTGTATGAACACCTGTCAATTCTAGCCGTTTCGCCCAGGGATGGAGTCGCTGGCTGCCTTCTAGGGAAACAAAGGTCAAAACACACCCAGGCCCAGAGATTTCAGCGGCGAGGAGGGGGGTGGGTGAAGGGTAGGCTACAGTAAGGGAGCGCGGGCCCAGGAGAGACTTTCAGGGGTCCATCCCCAGGAAGGCACGGCAGGCCTTTCCACACCGGGCTGGGGACATGTGCATCCTCATTCCTGTCCTGGCGCGGCCCCCAGGAGACAGCAGCGCAAATAGACAGGGGCTGGGGACCCAGAGGAAGGGTCCACCGCACCCTGCCCCTCGGTGAGCCCCTGCTGCCTGACCCGGCAGCTCCAGGGTGCCCTCACAGTGGGCAGGGAGATGTGCAGGGCAGGGGAGAGCTGAGCATCCCAGTCTCGCTGTCCGCAACCCTGCCCCCACGCCCCCCCAGATGCTCTGGGGGCCTGTGTCTTTCTGGAGCGTGGGGGTGGGGGTGGGGGGGCTGGCAGCCTGGCAGCCTGCCAAGAAAACATATGCGTTTTCAAAATAAATACTGTTTTTTAAATACCCCTCTTCCACTCCGACCCCAGGAGATGGCAGAAAAGCGTGCGTAAAGGTCCTGGTGCCGCCTGCGGCCTGGTACGGCCCCCATGAGACCGCCCTGGAATTCTCAGCGGCTCCTTCGGGCTCACAGCTGCTGTGGGATGCCCTGCTCCTTGTAGCCTGTGGGGAAGAAGCAAAGGAGAGAGGGTTAGATGCCCGCTTCCTTCAGGATTTCTCTAGGAGGTGCCTGCGAACCGTGACATGGTCATGAGATCTTATTCACACTAAGGTGTGAATGACAGCTATACTCAAGGTCCACCTTTCCCCGAGGGCATGGACTTTTTCACCAGGAACGGAAAGAAGCAGGAAGAACTGTGGAACTTTGGGTTTAGTGGGGTTACAGGACAGGAGGGCATCTGGGGAGGGGGGGTGGTGGCACCGTGATCGACATGCCCTTGCTCAGAAGACTAGGGCGGGCCTCCATCCCCAAGCGCCAGGTACCTGGGATGTGTGGACGGAGAGGAAGACGGAAAGGAAAACAGCAAGACAGCACACAAAAGACTGTCACCATGTGTGTGTTCAATTAGCCAGACGTCTGGGACACAGACAAACATGACCGACGACTCCGAGCCTTTAAGACACAGCAGTGTCACAAGATCCCTGGGGAAATTGAGCCACTGAAATATTTAGGCATGAAGTTACGAGTTTGAATTTGCAAAATGCCCCCCACCTCACCATTAGCTGGCAACTTAGCCCCAGAGGAGTTTCTGAGGACCTAACGGTTGTTTTCTCTCATTATTTACCAAATTATTCACCAATTTTAAGTCTGAATAATGTGCAGAAATGCAGGAAATAGATAAGACGTCACAGATGACACAGGAGTGACTATGTGTTGTTGAAGCCTGTGGGCCCTTAGGGGCTCAGTGCACTAGGCCCTCGACTTTTGTCTACGCTTCTACGTTTTCCAAACTAAAAAGCTGGAAATCCAAACAAACAAAAAGAAAATACAAATAGAAGAAACAGAAGCACAACAATAAATGAAAATAGATAAAAACCAAAAACAAGATGAAAGCCCGGTGGCCAGCTTGGTGAGTGTGTGTGCAGAGGGTGCAGGGGGGCGGTGGGGGCGTGGGGGAAGCAGCCCAGGCAGGGGCCCCACACCCAGCAGCAGACTCACCTTGGGAAACTTGGGGGCAACACAGGGTTGTGAGGCCACAGGAGGGACAGGAGGAAAAGAGAAAGAGAAAACAGGGTGAAAACAGAGGTCGGAGGGACTGGCTGAAGTCTAAAAGGTGTCAGGACGCGTGAGCGCTGTGCCTGGGGTCCAGCGACCGGGAACCACAGGTGGGTGCTGGGCTGCAGGGGCGCATGGCCGGGGCTCCCCCCTCCCCAGGCTCACAGCCTGTAGCCCCGCCAAGAAGCTCCCTCGGGGGCCACCCCTGCTCTGGGCTCACCCCCACCCGGCCTAGAGACACCAGCTGGGTGCACCTGTGGAGGGATGGCTGTGGGACACTCTCAGGATTTTGAGGTGCCCCCTCCTGGCCCCAGTCAGGCTCCGCCTGAGCTGTCTGGTCACCCCATATAGGGACAGGAACCACATACATAGACTCTAATGCCTCGGGACAGACTGAGGCCGGGACATGGCAAACAGATTTCGTCCTGCAGACATCTCGGATGGAGATGCCGGAAGCCCTGTGTGGGGAACACGTGGATGGATGAGCAGACGGTGTCGTGATGAGGGGGGCAATGCCTGCCGTGGGCATGGGGCAGAGAGAGCGCGGAGAACTACGGCGTATTTCTCCATCCTCGACCAGGACAGTCTGTAGTTGGTTTGTGATTATTATCAACAGAGCCGCTTGCTTGTGTCTCTGGTTTTAACGTCTACTTAGATCTGGAATTCCCTGCTTGTCCTCTTAGCAGTTTTTCCGGACAGTGTATGTGCTGATGACACCTTGGCCAGTGCTGTGTGGAAGGTCATCCTTGGGATGCCTGGGTGGCTTCAGTCCGTCAAGCATCTGCCTTCTGCTCAGGTCATGATCCCAGGGTCCTGGGATTGAGCCCCGCATTGGGCTCCCTGCTCAGCTTCTCCCTCTGTTCCCCTCCCTGTTCCTTCTCTCTCTCTCCCTCTCAAATAAATAAAAATAAAATCTAAAACAAAACAAAAAACTCACCCTGTACTGTTCCAGCTGAGAAGTTTCCTTCATTTTTGCGGGAAGGGGCTGGAGTGAACCCAGAAAGAACGGCCCCCACCCAACTATCAATTAGGACAGATGAGTCACTCGTGGGACCTCCCCCCAAAGTCGCCATCCCGGGACATGCATGCTTTGCTGTTGCTCAGAGTCACCCTGGCCTGCAGCCGCATCTCGAGAGTGGCAATTACGCATCCTTCCAGGGTGGGTTTACTTTCTGGAACAAGGCACCCCTGCAGAGATGGGTGGCTGAGTCCGGAGGGCAGGCGCGGTTGGTGGGCCGCGGCGAGGTGTGGCGGGTTTTCTCATGCAGCTGTCTGAAAAGTCTGACGCAAAAAAACCAGCATCCCCGGGGCCAACGTGCAGACACCCAAGAAGCTGACTGGCCACAGCGAGAGCCCGGGGCCCTGGGGTGGGATGGGAACGGGACTCCTCGTACCGGGTATCCCGCCGCCCGACCACACCTGCCGCACCAGCCATAGGGCCAGGGTTTCTGGTTAGGCCCACGGTCTGGGGTGGTGCAAAGAGAGGAAGTAACCAGGTCCCCATCTTACTCCTCGGGGTCCACGCTTCCTTGTCTAGGACCTGATCAGGGGGCCCTTTCAGTTATCTCTAAGATATAGACCCCGTGGCTTTTAAACCCCTGGGTTTTAAGGGTGACCAAGATAAAAATAACCAGAAAGCTCTAGGGACTAGGCACTAATTCACTTTTATTGAGACGGGGCCCAGTGACGTAGGCGCATTCCACTTTGGTGGAAAGTTTCCATCCTCAAGTGCCCAAGTGCCTGGCCAGACACTGGGGTGACGCGGGAAGAAGCAGTCAAAGGGGTCAGGCTTTCTGACAGTGGCTGAGGACGTGTCCCAGAGCAGGCCTCCCAGGTTCCAACTGGGAAAGGGGTCAGGAGGCTGTGGGCCATCCCACAGGCCCCCTGGGGAAGCCTCGGGCTCTGCAGCGCTCCCCGCCTGCTGGCAAGTCTCACCAATCCCTGGTCAAGGGCGCAGGGCGAGGCGCCCAAGATGGGCCTGCCTCGGTCTCTGACTCCTCTGCCTGCTCCCCTCCCAGGGTCCCCGTCCTCCCTGACGTCCTGACGGGCTGCGCCTGCCCTGAGAGCAGCCCTCCCCAGCCTGCTGACCCTCCCCAGCCTAGCCCTCCCCGGGGCCAGCCCATTCCCCAGCGGCCAGCCAGGCCTGCTCTCCCCCTCCCATTTCTCTGGCTGCCCCCGCCTCCCAGGGTCTGCCTGGGATGTCCTGGCAACAGGCTCCCCACTTCCTTCCTGACCTCTGCTGCTAGATGACCTGCTCCCAGGCAGCCAGTCTGTCCAATCCACTGGCTCCGCTGGATCTCTCCGGCTCTGGGGCCTGCACTTTCTCTGGCCGGCGGCTTGACTGGTCACTGACCGGAGGCCTCTCCTGGCCCTGGCATCTGTGTGTGCCCTGCATCCTCCGAGGATCCTGAGCTCAGATAGAGTCAGCTACAGGTCATTCTAGATCATTCTAGGGCCCCCAAAAGCCTGTCCGGCCTCGGCTGTCCCTCCCTCTGACACTGAGAGTCCCGCCTAAGCGTGGCTTTGTTGTGTCAGACACCACGGGGCGCCTGGTGCCTGAGGGAGGCGGCCCATCGGCGGCAATTCGTGGTGGCGTGGACAGAACACGGGAAAACGCAGGCCACGCACGGGGCTGCTCCAAGGCACGTGCGGTATCTGTTCTAAGAGCTTGCTAGGTTATTTCATAGATGTTAAGTCATCTCGGTGACCTTTGTAACGTTAGGCACTTTCACAAAACAGTTTTGTGTCTGAATCAAGTTTGTGCTAGGTGAGTGGCGAAGGTCCCCTCAACAGGGAACAAATCTTGGGTCAAAGGAAAACCACGCTGTCCTGGCTATAAAAACAAAACAGAACAAAACAACCCATAGTTACAGGGCTTCCTGTGGGCACAGATGCCACGTGGGTTTCCCTTCTTTCTGGAAACTATGGCCACCAGGCCCAGGGGACATCACCTCACACAGGCCCCACCCCGGCTAACCAGGGTGGTCCGGGACAGTTCCCTCGACAAAGAGGATGCCCGATGCGTCTGAGCTGAAGAGAAGCTCGGCCCTGTCTTGTTCACACACTCAGGCTCAGGTCTCTGCCTGTCTGTGCTCAGAACTCCCTGCAGGCATTGGGCTGGGCGTGCGGGGGGGCCGGGGTGGGGGCGGCGGGGAGGGTCCCCTCTGCCAGGCGGCTGCGGACTCTAGTGACTGGCAAGGCGCCAACACCCTGCAGGACCACAACCACCCAGACTATCTGGCGCCTGACCTTCCTCCAGCCCTGCCCCCACATCCCGGCCCAGCCCCCGACCCAGAAGGCGTGGCATGGGCGGCTACTCACTGGCCAGGATGACCATGTCCATGCCCCAGAAGATGCTCATGATCCAGCCCACCATGACGATGGCCGTGAGGGTCTGGATGAGGGCTGCTGCGATGTTGAGCCAGAAGACACAGCATACGTGCCTGTCCGGGAGGTCGGTGCGGGCTCCACACAGCACAGCAAAGGCCGAGACAAACGTCCCTGTGAGAGGGGACAGGCTTCTGAGCGCACTGGGGGGCACAGCCACACGCGTGCTTCCGGATGGCCTGGGGCCCCGCTGCCCGCCCCCCCAGGGAAATAGGAGAGGGGCGGCCAGAGTCCAGCACCTTCCCACTCAGACCTGGCCCGCCTCTGATCCCCGTGCTGGGGGGCCGAGGCACCAGCCTGAGGACATGTGGATGGTTGGCCCCAGGCCCAGCACAGTCTTGGGGCCATGACAAGACGTCCCTGCCACAAGGGAGCCACAGTGCAGCCCCCTGCAAGGACAGTGAACAGCCCGGGGGAACGACATCAACCTCTCGTGGCAAAGGCTGTAAAGGCCTAGCAGTTCGGAAGTAGGAACCAGCATCCCTGGGGTGACACGGAAGTCGCCCACGGAGATAAATTCAGGAAGTGACCCCCAGCACACTCGCTAATTGCGAAGGGACAGGCGCGGAGGCCCCAAGTGCCTGCAGAGCGGAGAGCGCAGGCCAGTCCTGATGTTTCAGAGACCCTTCTCTGAGGGGTTCCCCCAGACACCCCAGACCTGCTGGGGGAGGGACAGAGTGCCCAAGATTTATTGAACACTCATGACGCACAAAGCGACGTAATGTGTGTGACCAGGTCCCTTAGCTGGTAGGACTTCCCAGATCCCCACAGGTACCAGCACTATACTTACTGGCATTTTCCTGGAGCCAGGCTCTTTTCCTCCGTGGGCTCTGAGCCTCAAGGCCACCCTGCAGGGCAGCTGGCCTGCTCCCCATCCGTGTCAGTCACCCCGTGGCCACTGGCCCGCTCCCCGTCCATGTCGGTCACCCCGTGGCCGCCGGCCCGCTCCCCCTCCGTGTCGGTCACCCCGTGGCCGCCGGCCCGCTCCCCGTCCATGTCGGTCACCCCGTGGCCGCTGTAACAAGTCACCACAACCTCAGTAGCTGAAAGCAACATAAATACACCCTCTTACAATTTGGGAGATGGAAAGTCGGAAATGTCCTCGGGGTCCTCCTGGAGGCTCTTTTCCTGCTTCCCAGGGCTGCTGCATGTATTGGCTCCCGCCCCTCCTCCACCACCCCTTCATCTTCTCTCCCTGACTCTGACCACCAGCCCCCCCGGGGAAGGACCATTTGAGCACATGGGCCCTCCAGATAATCCAGGTAAATCCCCCCATCTCAAGTCACGTGTGCAGAGCCCCCTCTACTGTGTAAAGGAACACTTGCACAGCCTCTGGGGTCAGGGTGTGGACACCTTTGGGGGGAAGCATTATTCTGCCCACCACACTAACATCCCATATTACCCAGGTGTTCCTCGTGCTTCCACACCTGGGGTCTTGCTGCCCCAGAGAGACTGTCCCTAGAGCTAGTACGTGACCCCCCAGTCCAGAGCCCACCCCCCAACCACCTCCTTTATGGGCTCTCACCCTCTGGGCCCTTAGCCCTCCACCCTAATCGTTCAGGGCCAGATACTAGACAACCAGGGACAGCCCACTGAAATTATTCAAACGAGCTAGCCATTAGCCGGCTTACCCTGCCTAGAGTGTTCCTTCCCTGGAAACCGCTATAAAGGCCCGCATTGCCCCCCGTGGCCTGCCCCCTGACCATCTCTGGCACCTCCTCATGTGGGGTCCTGCAGCGTGGGGCACCCCTCCTCTGAGGAACTGTAACCAACTGTCCTTTCAGTGGCTGCCATTTCTGATCTGCTTGCCCCTCCATACCTAAACAGTAAGAAAACCTACATTCTAAAGGACGCACACACTCGAGAATCGAGTATCCTGTCCAAGGTCACAATCACAGGCAGGCACGGACCCCACGGCCATGTGATGCCAGTGTTCTGTTCCTGCTGGTTCCCACTGCCTCCCAGGTGGGGACGAGCTGTGACAGCAGGTCCAGACGAGGGAGCAGTCCATTTGGGAAACCAGCCCGCAGACCAGCGACCATCCTCACGCTCCTCTTCCTGGGTAAGCTCCTCCCTGTCTGCACTCTGGCTTCTGGCCCTTCCCTGCTCAACCCTGGTGGCTCCCGCGGCCTCCCCAGGTGGCCGAGGCACCCATAAGCCTCAGATCCAAGGCTGACGCCGGGGTGCATGTGCTGATTCCCGATCCCAACCCTGCCCATCCTCGTCCTCTTAACAACTGCCTCCAACTGTGTGTGTTTCTGCCTCCCTAGGGGCTGACAGTCCCCCTGAGACCCCAGGTGGCATCCCGACCACCCTCTGCCCGAGCCCCAGCACAGTGCGGTATACAGTAGGCAGAGGGGCCCCCGGCACGGTGCCGTATACAGTAGGTAGAATGTGGGGGTCCAAAGAAACGCAACCAGTGTGAGGTGCCTCCTCAGACCACCTGCTGTCACCTGTGGTATTTGCTAAAACCACAGATGACTGGAGGGAGTGACGTCACCACGATGGCGACACAGGTCTTTGCTGACACCCCTCCCCTTCACAACAAGAACAGCTAACAACTGTTCATGAGCAAAACACCACTGAGAGGATCCCAGAAGCACCCCCTGCCCCACAGAGACCAAGACAGGCTGCACTGGGAGGGCCAGAGCCGTGGCTCCCTGCTGACCACCCTGCCCCTCCCCTACCCGCCCACCACCACCCAGAGGCCTCCCCTGAGCCTCTGGGGAAAGGGGAGGGGACAACCAGCCCCACCCCCCGGCATCGTGGGTCACTTCTAGGGACCCCTACTCTGATCTGGCTGCACAGGGAGATCAGCGGGGCCCGAGCACCGGAATCGGCTTGTGATGGGGGTGGGGCAATCCTCAACAATGGGCACAGATCTTGGGCACGGAGTTCACAGTGGCAAGGCCCAAGTCGTCATCCCAACAGTGGCCTCGCTCACCTGCGGAAGCACGTCAGTGACGCACTCTGACCAGGGGCCTAGGTGGGCCTTAGAGTCCGGCTTGCCCCCACACAGGCAGGGAGCTGTCACCTGTGTGGGGAGGGTCTCCCAGCCACATGCGACCAGAGGGCGGGAAGGAACATGTGCAAGGAACATGTGCCGAGAGGCAGGCAGGCAAGCTAACCACCCCCAGGGCAAAGCCAGTGCCCACTGTGGAGGGTGTCCCTGCTCTGCAGAGGCTGAACTCATGGCCGAGGCTGAGGGTAGCTCCCAGCTCCTCCCAAATGGAGAGTCTGGGAAAATGAAAGTTGCCCGGAGCAGCCCCCCTACCCCCACCCAGACAAGGTATGAGACACAACCCTATCTGCCCAGAAGAGCTCCTGTGCCCTCTCTCTCTTTCCCTCTCCAATAAATAAATAATTAAAAATATATATATATACACATAGAGCTACAATAAGCAAACCAATATGGTACTGGCAAAAAAACAAACAAACCAATGGAACAGAACTGAGAGCCCGGAAATAAACCCAGGCATATACAGTCAACTAATCTTTGACAAGGACACTGAACGTGAGAGAAGACAGTCTCTTCAATCAGTGGCGCCAGGATAACTGGATATTCACATAGAAAACAATGGAGTTGGGCCCCTACCTCACACCACTCACAAAAATTAACTCGAAATGGACCAAAGACTTAAATATAAGACCTGAAACCACAAAACTCCTGGAAGGAAACAGACACAAAGCTCTCCCGATGTGGGTCCTGGTGATGGTTTCTTGCATGTGACACCTAAAGCTCAAGCAACTGAAGCAAAAATAAACAAGTGGACAACATCAAACTAAAAACCTTCTGCACAGCAAAGACAACCTGGGGAACGGGAGAAAATATCTGCAAACCATACATTTGATAAGAGGTTAATCTCCAAAAAACAGAAAGAACTCATTGACTCAGTAGCAGAAAAACCACCCAATTAAAACATTGGCAAAGGACCTGAACAGACGCTTCTCCAGAGAAGACTTTCAGACGGCCAACAGACAAATGAAAGGATGCTCAACATCACTCATCCTCAGGCAAATGCAAATCGAAACCACAGGGAGATCCCACCTCACACCTGTCAGAATGGCCATGATCAAAAAGATAAAAACACAAGAGATACCCAGTGTTAGCAAGGATGTGGAGAAAAGGAAACCCTCTTACACTGTTGGTGGGAGTGCAAACTGGTGCAGCCACTCTGGAAAACAGTATAGAGGTTCCTCAAAAAATGAAAAACAGAACGACCATATGGTCCAGCAATTCCATTTTGGGGAATATATATATAAAAAAAGAAAACAATTCAAAAAGACATCTGCACCCCATGTTCACTGAAGCATTATTTACAGTAGCCAAGACACGTCTATGGATGGATGAACAGATCGAGACATTGTGGTATAAATGTGCACAATGGAATATTATTCAGCCATAAAAAAACGAGGAAGTCCTACCACTCGTGACAACATGACGCCTTCATTAAGCTAAGTGAAATAAGCCAGACAGAGAAAGGATCTCACTGATGTGTGGGATCTAAAACAACAAACAACAAACTCAGAAAAAGAGATCAGATGTGTGGTTACCAGAGGGGGGGTGGGGGGGCTGGAGGAAGGGGTCAGAGGGTCCAAACCCCAGGTGCATGGTAAGTAAGCACGGGGGGTGTTGCGTAGCCGACATGCTGTAGGGGAAGCTAAAATCCTGAGTTCTCGGGGCGCCTGGTTCGCTCAGTCATTGAGCGTCTGCCTTCGGCTCAGGTCATGATCCCAGGGTCCTGGGATTGAGCCCCACATCGGGCTCCCTGGTCAGCGGGAAGCCTGCTTCTCCCTCTCCCACTCCCCCTGATTGTGTTCCCTCTCTCACTGTGTCTCTCTCTGTCACATAAATAAAATCTTTAAAAAAAAAAAAAAGGAAAAGAAACTCTGTCCCTGAGCTCAGAGGTTCTCAGAGTTAGAAAGCCATCTCCTGTCTCCTGTCAAAAGATGGACCCTCACCAGAATCACCAAACTGATTAGAGGCCGCTGGGCATCTGCATGCACCTGTCCACCTGCCACTGGGAGAGCATGGCCTGACGCACCTGCCGCTCGGGGACACGTGGAGCTGTGACACATGGCGACACCAGCAAAGACCCAGGCTCTTCTGCTGG